ATTTTGTAAATACGATAACAAGTTAGAAAAGCACTATTTAATTTGATGTGGTTCTGTTCTCTGAGCTGGATAGTTAATTTGCGAAGCATTCATCACCCTACCAGGTGACATCTTCAGTACATACTTCAATTTGAAGTGAGCTTTTAGATTTCTCCACGAGTTTATTAATCACCTCTCCTGGTGACCTTGGACGTGATTGGTTGTTTTTGTGTGTTTTCACACCTTTTAGATTACTTGTATTGTCACTCATTGTTTCTTTGACTTGAACTTTGACTCTTTGTGTGTGAGGTTTCTTTCTTATCGGTTGATAAATTTTGTCTATCTCGATGTGTCTATTGATTTATGATTCATTGGAATGCCAAGCCTCTAAAAATTCTCTAGCATTCTTGTTGTTTCCTATGTCTAATATTTGAACGTTGTCCCAGTCGAATTGATGTCCGTGGTTGTCTGTATGTAGTTATATAAAGGGGACGTCCACTTTGGCCAATGTAGTGTTTTTCGCAGTTGATGCAATCTATTTTGTAGATGATGTTGGTTTTATCTTCCTTCGGTGTTGAGTCAACTGCGAAAAACACTACATTGGCCAAAGTGGACGTCCTCTTCGTCTTCGTATCCACGAACATAAGCTAGCCGTCAAAAGACATGATATCCACTCCCTCATATCACTACATACAGACAACCACGGACATCAATTCGACTGGGACAACGTTCAAATATTAGACATAGGAAACAACAAGAATGCTAGAGAATTTTTAGAGGCTTGGCATTCCAATGAATCATAAATCAATAGACACATCGAGATAGACAAAATTTATCAACCGATAAGAAAGAAACCTCACACACAAAGAGTCAAAGTTCAAGTCAAAGAAACAATGAGTGACAATACAAGTAATCTAAAAGGTGTGAAAACACACAAAAACAACCAATCACGTCCAAGGTCACCAGGAGAGGTGATTAATAAACTCGTGGAGAAATCTAAAAGCTCACTTCAAATTGAAGTATGTGCTGAAGATGTCACCTGGTAGGGTGATGAATGCTTCGCAAATTAACTATCCAGCTCAGAGAACACAACCACATCAAAATCATCCACCTGAGCTACAAATCTTTTCTATCATATCTAAGCACTATTTAAACATAAGGTTCCACTTCCTCGACGTCCATCTGACTAGAAACGTCGCTAACTCTCTGAAAAAGTTCAGATACAGAGAAAGCTTACATGGAATGGACAATTCATCAACTTTCGAATCTTCGTGCCCCTAAGCAGAAAGAGGAAGCTTATATACGCTGTCTTCTCGAGGATTCGGAATATATGCAGCGAGTAAGTGATTGACGAAGAACTGCGTAATTTCCGAGGAACCCTGATGGAAAACAAGTTTCCGCCTAGGTTCATAGATTAGAATCTCAAATCAAAGAAGACTTCCGAACAAGTTCACTCACTCCCGATGAAGATACTTCTGCTTAATCTAGAATTCAAAGGTGACACTGAAGCAGAAATCCTTCGTAAACACCTCTGCAAATCTCTGAGGAAAACATACTTCGCCGCATGCCTACGACTGAAGTTTTCCCACGAGAAACTGTTCAGCCAGAAAGCGAAAGACAGGCTGTCGTATTGGGCCACTTCAACGTGCATATACCAGTTTACTTGGTCTTGCGGAGCAAAGTACATCGGCTGTACCATGTGTCAACTTAAAAAATGTGCTCGTGAACACTATCCAGCCTGGCTAGTAAATGGAAAACGAAAACGTGTACGTAGTTCAGTGACAGAACATCTGGTCAGTTGAGGACATTCAGCACCATTTGAAAAATCCTTAAAAATAATATACAAGATTCGATCAAACCTATCAATGGGAGTAAAATTAAAACGCATTAGCTATCCAAAAGCTCAAACCCACACTATGTATCCAATAGAAATACGTCCAATCCTTGTCCCTGCCATGGTCATCATAAACGGGTAATTCTTCTAATAGTGACTATCCCATTACCTTTCTTATGCAAACTTCCTGATTATTTTGTCATTTTGTTATTTCTACATATTTAATCCCTAATTGCATAAACAATTATTCGTCACATTAGTTATGATCCCACTAGATTTTATATCCAAACATCCTGTCTATTTTTGTTATTTCTACATTTCTAATCGCTAATTGCACAATATGTAAATCTTCTCAGTAATTATGATGCTACTTTGTTTGAGTTTTATCCGTCGCTCTCCCTCACTGTTTATAATGGCATTTTATTTCCTAATTTTAATTTTATTAATTTGACCCTTCACCGGAAATTATTCTGGAACTTCCCCACCCATTTATCATAAATACACGAATGTACAGCCTAGTTGATGACTTCGTCGAAAAGAAAATTTTCTTCGCTGCAACCGTCTTTTTATTAAACCTAAGGTAATAAAATCATAAGAAAAGTCATGATATTGTAAAAGGTCAGAAATGAACGTTTGTCAATGAAACAAAAGAATAGAAGAAGAAGAAAAGAAAAGAAAATTGTGATAGGAATTTAAAGTGCTAATGTTTATGGAGAATTTATTGGCCTTATTGTAGGCCAAGATAAACACAGAGGTTGAACATACTTCTTCTGTATACAAAGGGCCAGTCTTCTGGTATTGATTAATACCACTTCAGCTACTGATAGAAGACGTAGATAGATTACCAGAAAGGCGGTAAATAACTGAGAACTCCTGCTCAGGTCTTATCGAGTGTCCACTATCTACCAAGTGGGATAAGACTGCACTATTTACGCATTTGGCTATCCGTTTACTCAACCATAGAGGTACAAGTTCACGCGCGCGCATGGATAAAGCCCTCTGAGTGGTTGAATTCATACATGCACATCGATAAGGCAATCTTTGGTGATTCATTCTTGACTCGTTGTATGTGAGTACTGGTTTAGTTGAGAAGCTGAGTACCAGTTTAGCTGCAGGAAATATTCTCTCTACTGCTCTATTAAGTCGACATTTTAGAATGTCAGCTGCGATTTCCCCTTTGTAACTTAACTTAAAATACAAAGGTTTCTTATATACGATATCCATCGTTACCCTAACTCTAGGTATTGGCATACACTTTTTTAGGAAGTTCTCTGGATAACCATTTTTGTTGTTGTCATTCTTACGTTATTCATCCCTCTGGATTCCGACTGGAACACAAGATTTCGGCATTACATTCCTACTGCACTTTTTTCTGCTGTATTGGTTAGCTGCCTGCACTGTTTCCAACATGCTCACCCTTCTTCTGCTTCAAACGACCTCCTCCATATCACTCTTAGACACTTAAATCGTCGGTTTTCATTTGGGTTCCATTGGAGGGCTTGGCTACTTGTAGTATTCAGACTATACGGTAAGACACTTCATCTTTCAAGGTGAATATTCTTTTGTATTGTGAAGGAAATTACTTTCAAATTAATATAAGTAACACTTCAGAGTAACATCTTCAGGAAAGCAATTGGAATTTATGTATCACTGTGAAAGTCACCGAAGAAGAGATGTTTAGGAAGAGGTTTACCAATGGGTGGAATATCTTAATAAGTGTTATGCAGAAGGATGAAATACTCCTGGTACAGAATGGCTGATATTATATGTAAATAGTGAGGTCGATGCAAGATTTCTAGTCTTCATACATCCGCTTCCTTTGATTCATTTAAATAGAGGGAAAATGGAGATGTTGGCGGTTTAAAAGGAGGTTACTTTATTCCACAGGTCTTCGTCAGTCGCTAACCGACTAAAAATCGAATGAGATACTACAATTAAGTGTGAATATGTGACATACTTCACAATTATTTACTGACTGGGAAAAATATTCGTCTCTATATAAAAGTTATATGGTTTAATTTTTTCTGAAATTTGATTCAGGGACGTGAGTGATTTTGCTGGATATTGTAGTCCTTCAAAGACTTGGTTCGATTCTTAGTTAGATGATGTGTATAGTTGCAATTCGATCCGCACATGATTGGTCTTTTCTGAATCCAGCTTGTTCTGGGGTGTGTGGCGGAGTTCTGTATCCAATACATCTTGTGCTGAATGCTCGGTTGAAGACTCATTGTGCATATAAAACTACTGAGATATAACTATAATCAACTTATTATATAAGTCTATGTATTATGATTTGAAACTCGGTTGTAACCAGTGTCAGTTGTCTAGTCTTTTGCTTAGTGCAGACTGAATTCTGTTAGTGAAGGTTACAACATGGCCATCATGCATCTTGATGGCTAGCCACCTACCATGATGGACACATTTCAAACCTCATGACTGATAGAAGTCAGTCTGCATTAAACCGTAGACTAGACGCATGAGATTCGTAACTACCTAGCGCCCAATCAAAACACCCAATATAGTCCTACAGGGAGCCAGTCATTAGCATAAATACCTCAGTGGTAACGTCTTTGTCTGCAGTACTAGGTGACCTGGGTCTGAATCTCTTGGAGGAAGGGAGTACACGACCTCCTTCATGGTTGCAAAAAATTCTTGCCGACTGGTGAGTGCCAACAAGCAGGAGACCTGGATCAAGTTGGGCTTCCTACCTATTACCTCCAACCATACAGTAAATCCATAAATCGTGGAATTATAAATGTAGGCTTATAGAGAGAAGAATGAAGACGATGTCTAGACCACCTGTTGTGTAATTGCTTACATTGTAAATGTATAGAACAGACAGACAAACACGGGGCACGTAAAGAATTACAAACAGTGAGAAATGAAGTCGTTTTGCCTACTGGTTTACGCACCTTCATTTGTATGTCTTCCTTTACAGTATTCGTAGCCCTCCTCCCTTATATTTTGTCTGAAACAGGCAGCAATTTCTTGTTTACAAAGTAGTAATGGGGACAATTGGTTATTAGTCATCAATCACTTTGTATATTGTGTAATTTGTATATATTGTAATTCTGAACTGATTATATCTGTATCTGATTATTGGTAATTTGTCAATCTGCCTGGGGTCAGTTAACTTTTAAGATAGTCAGTCTGGTTATCTATGCATATTTATGTTCCTTCCTTTCTGTCATAAATAAAACGGTAATAAGAAATAAAGTGTCTATCTACGTTTGTAAATGGGAAGCAATATTCATTACTGAGAAGTGGTTAATAAATTCCAACAATCATTGACGAAGTTTGGAGGCCGAAAAGTATCGAATTATACGTTCATCGTAAAATAGTAAAAATAATGAATTCACTGCGCATCATGGTTGTTAACTGAAATTAAATAAGGGAACGACCTGGTTGACCGGACGGACGATACAACTTGCCTCTCCCAGCTTCTTGCCTCCCACAATTGCCAATCATCTCTGGCTCGTACCTGATCTGCACATCCACATTCGGATCCTTTGCTCCAATCTCCTTTTCTCTCCGCAGCACTCTTGGACTGTTGGCATACTCTACGTGGAGTGAGCAACTGCATACTAAAAAGGACTACTTCATCACTACAATCCTGTACGTCTTTACTTGTTTATTCTGGGACAATTATAACTCATCGGCTAGTATTTGCATTTGACATTTTCTGGAGGTCGCGCCATATCGTGGATTGGCAGAAGTTGGAATTCATGGAACGCTGGATCGGGTTCCAGTGTCTTTATGGTCTACGAGCTCGCCTTGTAAGTAGAAGGTCCTTGGTTCGAAATCTGGTGGTGGGTGCGTATTACTGAAGAGTCGCTAGCTAGGCTAACGAAACAGCTGTCTGTGAAGTACTCCCAGTTGGTTTTCCAATGGTTCTCTAACCAATGTCAGTTCCTGATGAAATCCCTTAGGTAAACCTGTCGATGAAGTTGAGTGAGGTAGATAGAGAGGTGACTGCTATCCCAAGCTCTGTTCAATGATGGATGATCCGTAGTGTTACAATTTGAACGATGCATGACTTGTTTCTCCTGAATCCAGCTTGTTCCGCAATAGGTTATTAGTGGTGTACAAAAAGTGAATTCTTATTATCTCAGTCATGCATGTGAACTTCTGCTGTATTACTGAATATGATCTGAAATAAGCGATAGGACATGGAATGTATAACTTCATTAGATCCCCTTCTGACTAATGCAGAGATTTCTTTTTCCCCGTGTATTTTGGTAAGGATACCATGTTGCAATGTTGTATGATAGTATATACTACTCATATATATACTGAACTTTAAGAAAAAAGTAGTAAAAATAATAACAACAACAACAATAAAAACACAGAATCATTTGAAAGTATAAGTGCATACTGATTCATTTAGGTAAAAACAATATTTGATTGTGAAGGGTAATTCGATTAGGGTTGTAGAAAGTGCATTTCCATTTTCCATTTTCTTCTTTTGAAATCTCTTTGTGATATTTGTAGTTGGTCAGGTTATTTGTATTTCTAATGAAGAGATGTTTAGCCTCAGGTAACAAGGTAACTAGTTTATTCAATCTTTTGCTTATTACATATTTCAGATTTAGTAATAATATTCATTACTGATGGAGAAGATTTGTAGTTCATGTGGATAATTTTGATTTAGTTGTGTCCTCTGAACTGGCTGATTCAATTGTAGAGCTTCCGCTGTCTCCCTTCCCGGACTTCAGTAGCTTGATCGCACTTAGGATTTCTTCTTTCGTTGGGGGATTGGTGTCCACTCTACAGGCAGTTCTGTGTGTGCTTTTGATGGTATTTCTGGATGAGTTGCAGGTAGTGGTCGATTCAAAAGTCTTTTAAAGTGGTTAGCCCATTGTTTGATCTGTTTCTCCTGCTTGGTGATCAGGTTCCCTTGAGCATCTTCTATTGGTTTCATCATCTGGGTTGATCTCTTTCCGGACCGAGTCCTGGTTATCTGATACAATGTCCTGAGATCTCTTTCGCCTGCAGCCTGTTCTGCTTCAGTTGCCGGCCAGTGTGTCGTAGAATTGTCTTTTGTCTTTTCTAGCACTCTTCTTCACTTCTTTATTCAGTGCAGTGTACACTGAACTTAGCTTCTTCTTCTGTTCTCCATCTTTGTATTGAGTCATCTTCTCTTTCATCCTCCTCCTCTCCTCTCTTCTATTAGCTACCAGCTAGGTGTCGTTGACAGCCATTCCTTGTCTTGTCTCTTCCTTCTTCCTAGAATAGTTGTACATGTTTCCTTAAATGTCGCTTTCAGAGAGTTCCAGTGTTCTTCCACACAGACCTCCTCATTTAAGCCACGTTGTGTGTCTGATTTTGCTCTGTTATCTGTAGTAGAAGCATCCATTGTAGTTTATCCTTAACTTTATGAATGATGAACTTGAATTGTGGTCTGTCTCCATTTGTTTTCATGGATTTCAGCTTCACCTTGAAGGTTTCTTGAACTAGGTGATGGTCTGAGCCAGCCCACATCTGATCCCTTTCTTGACTTTGTATCCAGAAGGCTGTGTCTCCGCTTCCTTCAGCAACAGCGAGATGAAATCATTTTGGTTTGTGCTATGTCCATCAGGCGAAATCCATGTTGCTTTGTGTACATCCTTGTATTTGTACACGCTGCCTCCAATCACCAGATCACTGAAAGCTCAGAAGTCTTCGTTCTCATTCATTTCGCCGAGCGAGAGCCTCTCGACCCATGATGAGTTCACTTCCTGCATTATCTTCTCCCAGTTCGGCGGGCGTTCATATCGCCCGTGAGGATTCTGATGTCACCATTTGGGGTGTTGTCCATTACTGATGTAGTTGTCTGTAAAAATCTTCCTTCCTCCTGTTTGTAGGTGCGTAGCACTGGATAACTGTTACGTTCCTTCCTTTTGAGTTGAATCTTACTGTCATGATCCTAAATGAGGAGATTGGTTCCCACTGCATTAGGGCCTTGGCTGCCACTGGTGACGTCATGATAGCCACTGTCATCTTATCCCATTCATCCTGTTTATGGTTGTGTGCAATTGCATGTAGTGAGTGCTCAAGTATCCCATTCTCCAGATTTCTCGTCTTATTCGGGTCAACTAATCTAGATTTTGCTGCTGAGGTTCGTTCTCCGCTAGTCTGACTCATTGCCCCTGCTCTACTATTTTGACCTAAGTATTTGACCTGCAAATCATTGCAGGTGGGGTATTAGATAAACTAAGCTGTTTTGTTTTAAGGGCTCTACAGGATCCTTTAGCCGACAAAGCTTGTTTCTAATTGAGTTTGTGAGTTTGAATACCAGCCACTTTTATTCCTGCCTTGTTGAAAATTCTACGTAAGGTTTCCGAGGTTCCTTTCTTGTATGGAATTACTACTGATGATTTAGATTCCTTGTTGTTGGTGTTGTCATTATCCTGCGCATGTTTGATATGCATGTCGTCATTAATATTATTCTTACTGCCATTATTATTATTATTATCACTATCACTACTATCATTATTTATTTTATTTTCACATTTCCGAACACATAAATCAGGTTTCAGGCACTTGATGGAGATGGCTTCAGCAAACTTGAGGAGAATCGAGCTCCTTTGCCTATTGATGATTATGAGCGATCTTGCTACATCCACCTCATAACCCGTGTCAAGGAGATGCCTCGCGATGGCACTGTTTAAAGCATTAAATGGTGTTAATCTTATCTTTGTTTTCTGTTGGATCTCTTGGCCTGCACAATATCGAATGAACTGCTTCTATTAGATACTGTAATTTTCTGAAAACTTCTTTAGACAGATTATATGTCGGTGTTCCTGGTAGCGAAAAGAGAAGAAGAATTCATATGACAGTAAAGTTTAAATTCCAAGTCAATAAAAATATGATCAAAAGACATATACATTAAAAACCAGTCACGACAAAGGAGATTGTAGTGTGCAACAATGAAAGTCATGCTTCCCGCTTACTCAGATTATGCAATGACGCACGTACCAATATTGAGTTTACTATGGAAAATGAAACTTATGGAAAATTCCATTTCCCTGACATTGCCATGCAACGCCTAGAAGATGGTAGTCTCCAGAATTCGATTTACAGAAAGCCTACATGGAAAGGACAATACTTACATTTTAATAGTTTTTGTCCAAATAGCTTTAAACGTGGACTGGTCGAAACTCTATACTATAGAGCTGGGAAATTATGCTCTATAGAGAAATTAGAGGAAGAATTTACTATTCTCGTAAAGATATTGAAAAGCAATGGTTACCCTCAAAGATTCATTAACGAGTACGGAAGATTTGAAGTCTCAAATGTCAAACAAATCACAGTGGAGAAAAAGCCCATCTACATTCAATTTGATCATAAAGGTGAAAACATTACGGCGATTGTCAATAGAAGATTAAGGATGTCACTAGTCAGGGCCTATCCTGCAGCTAAGTTGGTTCCCGTATATCGAACAACTTGCTCTTTGGCGCAATCAAAATCGATAGATACCCTTCTCATGTTAACTCCAAATTAATGTAAAAATTTACATGTATCTGCTGGAGCAGTTACACTGGAAGAGCAGAAAAAAGGGCATATCTAGATTTTCTGAATGTATACCAAAAAGATTACGTCTAAGGGGAACAAATGCTTTGAACAGTGCCATCGCGAGGCATCTCCTTGACATGGGTTATGAGGTGGACGTAGCAAGATCGCTCAAAATCATCAATAGGCAAGTTTGCCGAAGCCATCTCGATCAAGTGCCTGAAACCTGATTTATGTGTTCGGAAAGAAGCAGTTATCAGTCTTTCTTTGCCCTGGTAACTGGGCACCTCTTTTTCTTTTTATTACGTAATGCCGAAAGTTTCCACTGTGTATGGTCATTGTTGTTCCAAATAAAGCGTTTATTATTATAATATATATATATATATTATTGTATGCATATACTGATTGATTAATTTTTGTTTAAAAG